GCACACATTTCACGTCGTAAAAGCTGCACATGCGCGCACACCTGTCGCTCTACACGTGCTGCACACGTACCTGGTGCACTAATACAACACCGGTAAACCAAATGCAATAATGTACCGAGCGGTATGGTGTTTCCGGATAATAACGTACGAACGGTAGATGCTATCGGTAATTTTTGCGACAAAAATATATCTGTTGTGCCGGTCAATTCGGTACTATAGTTTTTAACGGTTTCAGTTAAGACAATATTACCGATGTCTGACTATTGTCGTTTGATTTGACTGATGGTCGAACGATAAGGGTATATTTATAACAAGCCCGTTGACTTAATCCATTGCATTAGTATCAATCAAGAAACACTGAACACTCATTTGGAATTGAGTAGTCTTCGTTTAAAATAATCTTAAATGTTTTACATGATATAGCAGCGAATGTCAAAGGATATAACTCTGGTTCCCATACAACTATTGGTTCCCGTTTGTGTACAGGTAAAATAGAGCCAATTTTAATTTTTAACACAATTTACCTACACTATTAAAAATTAAAATCCAGTAGGCTAGTGCATATAGAGCAAAAAACAAAATTTTAAAAGCTATATGTATGACATATAAACACAATTATTATATCGATAAGATAGAATATAGAAATATAACAGACTATAGATTACTAAACTAGAGACTAGAAAATTACTAACAAACAGGAAAGAAATAACAAATACTTGGAAAATTGTATGACTGAGTACATTAATGAGAAGATTAAGAGAATTGAATATTTAATAAAAGTTAGCTGTAAATTTGCAAATCAGTGGTTTTAAATTGTATTTATTATATTTTATTATTTGTATTTCGTACACCTAAGTGTTGACTAGTTGACTTCCAAATCAACGATTTAAAATTGTATATATTTTATCATTTTTTTTTTAACACACATTCACGCATATTGTTAACCAAGCCTACTTTAAAGTAGACAGTCCTAAGGCTCATAGGTGCAACTAAGGGGGGGCTTGGGTGGGCTTAGCCCACCCAGTTTTGTCCGTAGCCTATTCAGTTTCACTACAAAATAAAACATCAAATTTTGGTTTTTTTTAAAAATGTAATTTTTGGTGTAATTAAGACATTTGAAACTCTAAGATCTGAAGATGAATTTAAGAAAATATGGGAATAAATAAAAATATTATGCTGAAGAAAATGACATGTGGTTTTAACTCCATTAACTGGTGTATATATTTTATGATTTTGATAATTTGTTTTATGTTTCTTAACCTAAATAATACATACAAAATATAGGATCAAAGCATCGCAGAAGAGAGTCAACTAGCCTTCATGACTATGTATTAACAGCTACCACGGCGGCAGAAAATGATTTACATTCGTCATTAGCAAATTATGTAGAAAGTTATTGGAAAACATTTACATATTTTTTTTACTATGGACAGTGTTATTTTCAATCTTAAATATAGGTTTTCTGATTGAAACTTGGCTATGGCCAGTTCGGTTGTAGTTCATTTTGTAAATTACAACCGATTCAATGAAGTTTATTGATCATTATAAGGTAATTTGGTAATACCATGTATATAAATACATTTTAATTGTATAAGAGATTAATGATAACTAATTAATTAATTATAATAATTATAATTATAGAAATTACTTCATATTTCAAAGAGTAGCTTAGAAGCAGAAATTAGAATGGCATTTAACCTTTAAATAGTAAAAAAAAAAGATTTCAATATAAATGATGTTAAAGAAGTCGAAAAACAAATATTTCCAAACTTTTCTAAACTTTTACAAGTGGTTTTATTTATTCTTATAAGTTCAGACACCTGTGAAAGGTTGTTCTCTTCAATGAGACGAATAAATAATTGGCTTAGATCTTTCATGGCCCATGATCGATCTACAAATTTATCTATTTTAAATATAGAGATGTAACCAACAAATTAGACGAAAATGAAATTGTAAATAAATTTGTTGAAAAAAATAGAAAAATATTGTTAATTTAATTAGACTTTAAAATAAAAATTTAATAGCTATGAACTGTATATTTCATTGATTATATATGTATATCCTTATTATTCGTGTTTATTTATGTAGCTAGTCTGTAAGTAATAAGTGACTAGGTAAGTGACAACATTTTACTTCGAAATAAACTATTAACGACTATGGGTAAGGTAGTAAGGACTTCTAATTTATATAAATATAAATGTTAATGTTGATAATCAATATTGGGGGTGTGTGGACGAAGCCCCCACGGGTCGCTGGTATTATTAAAATTCAGCCCACCCAGAAATTAAACTCTAGTTGCGCCTATGCTAAGGCTGTAAAATTGGGAAGAAAAATGTGCGTAATTAAATGGGAACCAATTCGGCTACATCTAATAAATACCTTTTTCAAACGGGAACCAATTCAGCTATACCTAATAAAATACTTTTTTCAAATGGAAACAAATTCGGCACGCAGGGTTAGAGCTCAGGAACCAATTCTGTACCAGCCTTTTGGACAGCGGGGTATCACCCTTATATATAACATCTTCTACCATAATTTGATAATTGCTGTTTATATAACGCCAATTATCTAAAAATGCAAATTTTCCTTTGATTTGTAACTTTTTTCAAATCACTTTTTATTTACGTATATTAAAAATTACAAGGACTTTCAAATGTGTAGGTAACAAAAATGTCTTTATCATCAGATTACACAGCAATTAGTGTTGAAAGAATTTAATTATATATTAAATACCAAACCACTTTTTTGTCTGAATATAAAATAAAAATGCTTGGGCAGGATAAATGATAATTTAAATTCTCGTTTTTAATTGTTACAAAATATTTTTAAATTCAATAACCTTTGTTAGTGGATTAGCGACTAAGAAAATTAAAAATGTATGTGATCTAAAAAATATGAAAAATATGAAAATTCATTAAAAAAAATTAATTCAGTTAACGCACACTAATGTAGTATAATAATTGGTATAAAAAATTTGAAAAATATATCTAAAATGAATTACAGAATTTTCATTATTAATAAATTATAATGCAACAAATAAAATAAAAAACCATGTACATTTAATTTTCTTTATACTTTATACTCTAAAAAAGAGCGTACAATTTCTAAAATATGGAAAAATATTTCAAATACATTTAAATTTGATATTCTCAGAACATTTTTTTATCTGTTATTAGGATAGTGTGTACTTATTTATTGAATCGTATTCGTAGCATTGTAGCTTATTAAGTTAAGTAAAAATAAAAATACGAATAGATCACCTATTTTATAATCCGAATTCGATTTACAATCTAACTATAGGTTATTAATAATATTAACTACTTTATAAGTATATGTATTAGTACAAGTATAACATTAATGCATGACCTAAAGTAAGGCCACCAATCATCGACACTAAATTAATTTAATTAATTTAAATTTAATTTAGTCTCTAAATGGCATCCATTATAATTTATATCTCTATATAACACTTAAAAATCAACACACTTGATCTTGAGACCATTTTATAATTATTTTATTGCTTTTAACATTTGTTAATCCACTTAAAGTATTATTTGAAAATACGATATCTGAATTTATCGATGATACTCTGGTTTTTGGTAAAATTAAGCCCTCTTTGAAGTAATTCAGTGGTAATTCTGGGTCAAACATGTGTCCATTATATTCTGAAATAACGTCGTACTGAAATTTATATGCCCAAAATACGGATTTTTTAATTTCTTCGTTATTATAGTTTCTACTACACATTAAATCTGGCAATGACACTGGAATTAATTGCTATGAAAAATCGAGAACTTTCAGTTTGATAATCGTCCATTATATATACCATAACAAAACAACCATCCTTACTCACTTCGGTGGTTCAGAGGAGGACCGCTGTCCGAGTCCAACCAAATCAATAACAACCCTAGATATGCTACGAAAAACCATGTCATGTGTAATAAATTAGGTTCATACCATTGATTATATACTATATAATATATAATCAACGGTTCATACCATAAAAAATAAGTATGAGGAAAATTTTTGATTTTATCGAAATGTCGAGCATAAAAAAACTGACATTTAGAAAAAAAATAGGTATTTGATAATTTTAGAGCATTTTGAAGTTTTTTGATCATAACTTCTAAAGGAAATTAGCATAAATTTTTTTTGAAAATATCAATTTCAATGGATGCAAAAACATACAAATGGGAAAAAATTGCTAACAATGTCTAGAATTTTGAACTGCATTTATGCCAAAAAATGAAAAACAAAGTTAGTTTAACACGAAATTTTTTTTTTTTTTAAGAAGTCTCTAATTGGTATTTGCTTCCCGGCCTCCTCAGACTAGGATCCAGCACTGTTGTTACATCGGTCGAAGCATTTCTTACTTTTGATTCAATTTTAATTCATGTTATATTATATACGTAAACTTTCAGAATCGTAAGTGGACGAAATAATTGAAAGTACGAGTATAAAAAGTATTATCATTTTTAAAATGTATATAATTTGTCTTTTTGAATTCCCTTTAACTTAATTTTTTCGCATGCCATTGAAATTTGGTCAACGTTGCCATAGGTTCGCCACACTTGATATAGAAGAATATAATATCTACATTTTAAGATGGACGTAATAAAATAAAATACTAATAAATGAAACAACCTAATTTTAAAATGTAGCTCAGACCAGATAAAAAAAAGTACACGGGCCAGCTGTCATCTCTGATTTATACCTACGTCAACAACTGGACAAGTATAATAGATATTATCCATAGTTCATAATGCCAAGGTAGTAAGAAACTATCATTGATCCGTAATCGTAAGTGATAAGCCAAACGGTTATCATACGATCGGTCCGTTGGCATAACACTTACCGGTGGCAATGCCAGTGGAAGTGGAAATAAAAAATAAAACTGTAAACATTGCAAAAGTTCAAGGATCAAGTTTTAACTTAATAATGTACTATATCCGCATTAATTTATATTGATATCTAGTTATATATAAAATGTAACAATTTTTAATCATTTTTTTTTTTTTTTTAAATTGAAATGACCTATCATTTTTCAGTTTTATAGAATATTTATTATTTATGTTAATTCGTGCCATTTAATGATTTGCAAACAGCAAACCGGTTAAAACCTACCAGATTATTAGTAGCGTAAGATTTAATTGAATATTCACGTCTATGATTATTCTGTGATTAGTTTTATGTACAATTATCTTATTATCAACTATACACTGACATTGTTGTTAACACAATGGTATTTGATAATTTATACCTAACTAAGGAACATCTCGATGGGTTTGACAATTATAAAGTAAGTGGTTATTGATGTATTAAATTACTAATTTTCTACTTTCTTGGTAATATTTAAACTATTATAATGTCATGTTTTCATCTAGTTTAAATTATGTTCCATATTCATAATATAAAACAGTCAATTTTAATGAATCAATATTAATCATAACTATTATAATTATTTAGGTACACACACACATATATATATATATATAAATTCCATTGATAATTGATGATGTTTAATAATAATTACATGATTATTTTAAATGTTGAAAAACATACTTTTAGTATTATAGACTGATAGAGTATTCTATATTTCATAATTACATATATTTTTAATCATTTTAATTTGAAGAGAAAGTGATTTTCATATATTTTTCCCTGTTTATCTTATAATGAAAATAAATCAATATTATTTATTATAAAATCAAAATTATATAATAAAGGTTATTATAGTTAAACAAAACTAATATTAAAGAAAAATATATTTTTAAGATAATTTCCTTTCTTTTTTATACATTTTTGCTTCACAATGAAGTTATAGTGTTTTATTTTCTCTTATATTATTATAATTCTTTGTTAGATAATATATAAAAAGAAAATTACAGTTATCTAAAAATTTGGCGGTTTATATTTAAATCAGGGATGCCTGTGATCCTCCTCCAAGGGTTCCTGATTTAAACTAATATTAATATTAAATTATGTAACGTGTTGATTAGTTATAGTTACCTAAGTTATAATTGCTACATCATAAGAGCTGCAGTTTAACATAACCTAGCATTTCTAGTTCTCGGAGGGATGACTTATTTTGGTTTTTAGCAACAAAGACATATCTCCAAATCAACTGTTTTTAAACTAGCACTATTGTTATTTTACTATAAGCTCATTGTGACAATTGTTAGCCAATGACCATAGTTTTCTAGGCTTAGTTCATTAAAACAAATACAATATCACTAAATTACTCCAAATAATGATTAACAGTATTATACCTTCTGATAAAGATAAACTTTTAATGCATTAATATCATATTATTTACTTACATACCTAATCCATTTATGATATAAAATAGGAATTTATATAAATACTTACTAAATTTTTATTTATTGTAATAAATAATAATATATAAGTATATAAATATAAAGTATTATATATAGTAATTTTTCTTGCCTTAGCCTTGTTTTATTATCATATCAATATATTTGATAAAATGAAAATGTAATATTAAATTAATTTTATATCTAAAAATAATATATTCAAAAAATGTTTATTATGGTTCTATGTCTAAGACTTATATCAAATTATTTTTTATTTAAAATTTTGATATCTGAATTGTACGTTTTTTATGGTTATAATTTTTTATAGCTAATTATAACTTTCAACTATCCAAAAGTATAATAAATATGTAGATTAATAATTAATAATTGTTTTTTAATTTATTAGCTCTTTACAATTTTTGAAATATATTTGTATACTTTTTGTAGTATAATATATAAAATAATATAAAAATATTGTAAATACATACTAAATATATATTAATATAAAAAAATCTTCTAGTAACATTTTGCTGTATTAGTTACATTAAATAATATAAAATATATTAATAATGATTTATAATATTTTTTAAATATTTTAAACAAAAAATTTAAGGTATAATTAGTTTTTTAAAAAGGAATATTACTTTTGATATTATGTTAATTTATTTTTCAAACATTTGGTGTATTTAAGTTTGTATAAAAATATATACAATAATGTATCTGTTTATATATATTTTTAGTACAATGCAATTGATACAAATCCATTGGGTACATACATTATGCATCCATTTTGGAACACATTGATTAAAGTAAGTTTAATTATTCAAAATATATACAGAATATATAATTTAACATATACGTTGTATTAAATTCAGTTTTTTAAAAAAATATTTGGTTAATTTTAGATAACTCCAAGATGGATTGCACCTAATTTACTAACTTTTGTTGGTTTTCTATTTACTGTTGGAGCTTCACTTCTCCTTGCTTATTATGACTATGGTTTCTTTGCATCTGGAGTATACAATGAAGGTGATCCAATACCAAGATGGGTGTTTGGCATAGTGTCCTTATTTATTTTTATATCATACTCTCTTGGTAGAATTTTTATTATTTTTAGTCTGATAGTTATTACAATAATTATTTTCCTGTTGATTTAGATGGGTTGGATGGTAAACAGGCTAGACGTACAAACACAAGTGGTCCATTAGGTGAACTGTTTGATCATGGTTTAGATTCTTGGACAACTGTATTTATACCTACAGCATTATATTCAATATTTGGTCGTGATGATCCAAATACTATACAACCAATAAGAATGTATTATATTTGTATAATGGTATTCATTAATTTTTATTTGGCACATTGGGAAAAATATAATACAGGAGTATTATATTTGCCATGGAGTTATGACTTTTCAATGGTTGTGAGTTAAAGAAATAATATTTAGTTTTGTTGGTATAAAATAATTAATGTTTTTGTTTTTATACTGGATTGGATGAATAAAAATGTAAATAATTTATTGCATTTGTCATAAAAATAATTTTAAAAAGAGTGCTATTAAGATTCCAAGAAAATATATATACAAATTTTTTAAAATGTGTACTTTCATATGTAAAATATTTTGGAGTTTGAAGAAAGCTGATTAAATTAGTTTTTAAAGTTCTTCTCACTAAAATATGTATTTAAAAAAAATAATCATTAATTATATTTAAAATTTTGAAAATATGATATTTTATTTTTTTCATGCTTTCAGTATAGTCTAAACATCTATATTATCATATTTTGTTATAGATGTATAATTATTAATTTATAAAAAAAAAATTTTTGTATATGATTAAATACAAAAAAAAAAACTAAATTGCATTTATGCATATAATTATTTTATGCAAACCAAAATATACACTAATCATTAGATTTTTAGATAAAAACAATGATTAAAAACAATTTTAAAATCAGTTTACAATGTTTTATTTATAAAAGTCTATGTATAGTATTTTCCATGTTTTTTTATATTTAGGGATTAGTTATCTTTTTTGGTATTACTGCTGTTTTGGGTCCAGCTAAATGGAAGATGATTTTGATGAATAATTATTCATTTGGGCATGTTACTGAAATAATGTTTTATTTTACCACGTTTATTGCTAATATTCCAGTTTCAATCTATAATATTTATGTGTAAGTAATTTTTTTATTTAATTTATGAACCTATTTTTGTAGTAATAATTTAAAATTCACATAAATATATTTTTGGATATGTATGTTATTAGTACTGAGGTAAATTTGATTTTCAATTATTTATTTCATGAAGCAGACATTTTCATTATATCTTTAGTAAAGCATAAGACATCTTAAAAACTTCTTAATATATGCTATAGTTACAGTGAAATGTGATAATTTGAACTGTATTATTGATTTTTATAGAGTAATTCCATTAGTATTTTTATATACTTGAAATACTTGTGTTTATAATAGAACACCAAGTTTTACTCGTATCATTTTTCATAAACAATTATTTATCATTATTTTAAATTTAAAGTTTCCTATTTCAAAGTTAAAACCAACATCTTTATTCTACCTTAAATATTTTTTTTTTACCTTTTTAGAAGTTATAGAGACAAGACAGGTAAAAATTTAAGTATTCTAGAAGGTAGTCGACCATTGGTTCCTTTAGTTTTGTTTGTATCATTGTGTATGATATGGGTAAACATTTCACCTACCAATATTCTTGAAAGAGATCCAAGAATATTTTTCATGATGAGTGGAGCAATATTTTCAAATATTTGTGTAAGTAAAATCTTTTTAATTAACCAGGAAAATTTGAATAATTTTATTATAAATAAGTTATTTATAATTGATTAATGTTTTATTATATTTTAGTGTCGATTAATTGTTGCTCAAATGAGTAAGACACGTTGTGAAGCACATAACAATTTATTATCATATTTGGTTGTTGCTATACTTCTTAGTAAATTTATGCCTTCTATTGAGTTAATTGTCATGTATATCATGGCTTTTATAAGTATTATGACACACATTTACTATGGAGCTTGTGTAGTAAGTTTTTATTACAATATTTTAATAAAAATAATGATTTTATTGAAATAAAATATATTTTACCATACATAATTATTTATTTTTATATATTTTAGGTGAAACAAATGGCTGATCATTTTAAAATTATGTGCTTTAAAATACCATACAAGAATAATTAGTTATAAATACCTAGTTATTTAAAAAAAAAAAAAAAATTATTTACTACTTAAATTATATTCATAAAATAATTTTTACTAAAGGTTTTGTTTTTGGAATCTCATCACAGATTAACCATTAGTATAAACTATTATTGTTTTTATATTTGTTTAATTATTTATAATTTGTTTTTGTATTAATGTTAATAATATCAAAACATTAGTGAAATATGTCAAGTACATGTATAACGTAATTGTTGAAATACTTATAATTAATTAAATTTTTCTGTATTTCTTTTATTTATTAAAAAAAAGAGTAAATAATAGTTAATTAATTTGACTTATATTGATCATTTTTAATAAATTCAGCCTACTTTTATGATTACAAACTACTTTCCTTTTAATTTCGGCTACTGAAAAAATACTACAGCTAAATAAAATATCAATAACTATTTAATAATTTTTTGTTACTTTATTATTTATTAATTATAAATTAATAATTAATTTATAAATTACTAATTAACCTTTTAATTGATACCAAACTACTAGTTTTAAACTAATTTTTTTATAAAATAAAAATTAGCCATGATGAACAAAAATATTCATTGGCTTATATAATTTGTTATTTTTCAATGAATTAAATTTTTTAAACTAAACAGCAATTTTAGACTAAAAGTTTTTTAATATAAAATTATATTGGAAGTTTAAGTGATGTGTAATGATAAGGTATTTTTACTTGTGTAAAGCGTGATTTTAAAGAAAATCACAGACGTTATAATCACTTGGAATACTGTATATTTTATATTGAAAACCACACATAAAACATGAATGATATATTTAATACAAAATCGCATTCATGTTTTAAAGAATTTGATATATGTTTGATATTCCTATATGTATTTAAATAAGTACTTAAGTATTAAATACTTTTTCATTAATATTTTAAAGTTTTGTGTGTGTTTATTTGATAAGGTTATGTTTAGTGTTTATGAGCCAATTAAATACCTACATACTTTTTTATACTTGGTACTTAAACTTTATTTTTACATGATTGTACCTATTACACAGTGTATTAGTTTGATTAAAAGGTTTGAAAATATAAAATTATTGCAGAATAAGCATTATTATATATAAGAAATATTATGTTCTTACACAAAATAAACTAAACTTCAAATAGGTTATTGTTTTTTTTGTCAGTTTGTTGGATCAAGCATCCTGAAATAATTAAAAATGTTTGGAAAGATGAAGAAAAATGTTGGTATATAAATCATTGATTTAATAATTTTTTTGATCTTATATGAACAAAACTTATATTATTTTACCAAACATTTATACTCAATGTATTCAGATAAAAGCATTATAAATCATTATAATAACTAAAACATAAAAATCATTAAAATCTTCTATTTTGGTTTATAAATACAACTGTTTTATTTTTGAGATAATGTGATTTATTGAATGTTATATTTTATTTATATTAATTAACACAATATTAAGTTACCTATTAAAATTGTTTTATTTTTTCTAAACCAAATCTAAACAATCCATTCCACAGCATTTTCAATATTTTATTTTATGATTTTATTTATTTTGAGTTATTATAATAAGTAATAAGTGCACTATTACAATATTACTTAGTATTTATTCTGTAACAAACAATATAATATAAAATTAATTTTTTAATTATGAATTTGTGATATTAATCTAGTAAGTAAGTAGTATTCTACTATTCTCAATTCTATGATAGTGCAGTTAAAAATACAATTATAAATAGGTTATCTATCCATAATTGTGGTGAAAAGACGAATGGCTCTTAGCAGGAACAATTTTTTGTAGAATCCATGATATCATAAGCAGAAAGAAAAAAAATTGAACCTCAAGCACGTGTTATTTAAAAAAAAAAAACCAAATAATCCACCAGTGGTATAAAATAGGGGGCTATTGTGCTACAGCTCGCCTCCCACACACGAAATATTAAAAAAAATTAAAAAATTATTTTAAACGTTTGTTGTATTTTTAATGGTGCTTTATGCTTTTTTTAGAATTTGCACCCAACGTCAAATGTAACAATGTTCACGTGATCTGTAATATTATTTTTATTTTGTTGATATTCTCTTTTTTATTTTGACTCAGTAGCGCAATCAGGAATTTTTCATGGGGCGGGGCGGGGGGGTGACAAAATAAACTAATATACAAATAATAAAAAATTATAATATATATATCTAGAATATGATATTAATATACTATTATACGTACCAAGGGGGGGGTCCAGACCTGGAGTCCACCCCCCTGGTTGCGCCACTGTTTTGACTACCTACCTAGAGAATAAATGACAAAAATCAGGGGCGAATCCAGAGTCGGGGAACTATACGTCAAACCATTTCAAGAGGCCATTTATTAGGGATGAAACTGAATTAGAAATGAATATCTTGTAAAAAAAAAAAAAAACTCAATATGTTCATAAAAATGTATAAGTATATTTATATTACATTGTAGAATTAGTGATACCACCGATACCGACTTGTTTACGATTAATTAATTAATCTAATTTTATCAACGCAACAAACGTACGGAATAAAATAGGTACGATTTACTTAATTTTCTACTAAAACGATATAATTTAAAAAATAAATTATGAATTATAAAATTTTAAATTTTGAATATACATGGCATTAATTTTTCAAGTAACTCCGATGGGCCAACTGTCCAAGAGTCCAAATCAAGGGCTAAAAAGAGAAAAAAATTTCCAAGAGGCCAATTTTGTCAACAAATATTAACTATGGGTCAGCTGACCCCCTGAAAACCCCCCCCCTAGATCCGGATACCAAAATACAATTTCATAAAATATGCCCGATTTTAATTAAAACGCAGGTAAAAGGAAAAAATCTCAAAAAATCCAAAAAAAGCACAATAAACTAAAAAACGCAAAATATGCAAAAAAAAATAAAATAAAATTAATAGTTATATAATCAATAGTTAATATGTTTTAAGGTTCTCAATGGTTCAATGCTTATTATTAAGAGTTAATTATATAATAAATAAATTATAATTGTATAATAATCTTTCTTGGTATCCCTAATTGGTCCATTACTTTCCATAATCTTTCTCTATTCACTGAGTCGTGAATGGGTCAAAATGTAAATTTAAGTATGGAGGAGAGGAATCAGAAGAATTTGAGGTAAAAACAGGCTTAAGACGGGGAGACGCCTTATCACCTGCCCCAGTGGCGTAACTGAGAAAAAACCTAGGGGGGAAATATAAAATATTTATTATTACCAAAACTCTGACACCCCTCCCCTTCACCAGTTAAAACATATTTTTATTGTATGTATTTTATACACTATATCTAATTGTTTGATTTTAAATAAGTCTTTTAACTAATTTTATAGTTTAGATAAACATAAATTGTAGGTAGCATGTACTAGGTACTAATATTGTTAAATAATATTCATAAGGGTTCATTAATAAAGGTTATAATAAAGGTAATAAGATGCTATTTGTACTGTTGAATTATCTGGGGGTCGGGGCAAAATTATACCTTTATCTCTCAAATAATGGTCAGAGGGGGGCACTTGCCCCCTTGCCCCCCACAATTACGCCACTGACCTACCCTATTTAATATAGCGTTGGAATCAGCAATGAGAGAAACTCTGGATGGAGCAACGGGAATCAAAATGGGAAATGACCAACAACTGGTAGTGGCAGGATACGCAGACGATGTTATAATAATGGCGGAGAGCGTGGAAGACCTTAAAAGAACTGCTAGTAAACTGATAGTAGAGAGTGGAAAAATTGGATTAATGATAATGAGGGAAAAACAAAATACACGATAGTTACGAGACACAATCATGAAATAAGATTTTTGAAAGTGAATAATTATAACTTTGAAAGGGTAGCAAATTTCAAATATTTAGAGGTAAATATTAATGAAAATGTTGACAGTCATGAAGAAATAAGACTAAGACTGGTAGCGGCAAATAGATGCTACTTTGGACTAGTGCCCCTACTCAAGTCAAAACTGCTATCATGGAAAACAAAAATAACGTTGTACAAAGTTTTGATAAGACCAGTAGTACTATACGCCTGCGGCGCATGGGCAACAACAAAGACGGATGAAAATAGATTAGCTACATTTAAACGAAAGGTTCTTAGGAAGATATTTGGGCCAAAAAGAAACACTCTAGGGGACTTTGAGTTAAGAACAAACCAAGAATTAGAAGAACTATATAGTGAAACAAATATAATTGGAATCCTTAAATGTAGTAGACTGGGATGGGCTGGACATGTGTGGAGATCCGAAGGCCCTATAGGACTGGCCACGGGCTGGAAGCTGGACACAAGAAGGCCACAAGAGGATGACCCAGACAGCGGTGGGAAGACAGGATTGCAGGAGATGCATCTAGATTGGGAATGGGCGATGAAAAAGAACTAGCTCAAGATAGAGATAGATGGAGGCAAGTGGTTGTTGCGGCAATAGATCTAAAGGACCCGTAAAAGTCAGAGAAAAAAAAATTGTATAATACATTTTACACATAGTATATTTCATTATAGAAATAGTTAAGTAGACATATATACAAGGTGATTTTTTTATCATGAACCAGTTAATATCTCAGGAAGTATTAGGAATTTTAAAATAATTTTTTTTTATACTTTCTAGGTCTTACTATTTTACAGTGTGTTATAATTTTGATAATTTTAACTTCCTCCCTTATTTGATAAAACACTATCAACTTTCGATTTTCAAATGGCAATACCTATTTTCGATAACGTAAATGTATAAACATACTGATAAAAATAATTTTAACGTTTACAGAATATAAATTCAGTAATCCGTTTACGATTTATTACCGTTTAAATATTAATTAATAATAATACTCGAATAAAAGTTATTAATTATGTAAGTTCGAGTTAATCGTAATTTATTATTTATTTTTTATTCAATTATTTTTGAGTAATTAGTATTTTATAAGTAATTACAAAGCAGTTTCAGATCAGTTGATCATATTTTTAAAACAATCGAATGCGTTTAACATATTTATATTAACTGGCTTAATTAAAACACAATAAACATAACTGAATTTCTCCTAAATACAATACCTACCAACAGACTTGTTTAATTTTATAAATAATAGTTATTCTTGAAATTTTAAAATAAAATTTAAAAATTACACTTTTATTCAAAAAGATTCTTTACGTATATAACACTATATTCATTAAATATACATATTATACAAATATATATATATTATTATAACCCGCAAAAACAATTAACATTTTAAAAAGCTATAGTAAAAATGGCAAATTTAAACAAACGGATCAGCTTATCAGATTTTGCGACCACCAAATCTGAGACCTCTGTAGGAAGCGGATCTTGGCTCGATTGGATAGTGAGATGGAATGGAAACAAGGACGCCGGAATACAACAAGAGGATAACAACACCGGATCCATGGTAAGACATCTTCCTACATGTAAAAGAAAGATATTAGAAAAAAAATAGGAGAGATTAGAACGTTAAAATGAATTAAAAGTAGTAGCTCAGGTGCTTAGGTTCTCACTCTATGTGTAAATAGTTCTAAACATTTTACATATAATAGACCAGAAAGTTTTCGCAAAGACTACGACTTACGTATGTTTATTTCGGGACGCAGCCCTCTCCTCTAGTTATAGAATTATAGTCACTCAGCTGTATAAAACTACCAAGAACCACACAATTAATAATGGTTTCTGCTTCGAAAAAAAAAATCGTGCACAATGTATTTATTATATTCTATCATTTCAGGTTAGCGACGAAAATGAAAAAGAAACGGATGAAAGCAGAACCACGGAGACGACCGTAACATATCCAGGTAATATTGCCAATTCTACAATTATATTCCATAAATAATTATGAGCTATACAACGTTAATTAATGACGACTACAAGTCTTTGTCTTCGATAAAATTAATGTAATTTGAATCAATTGGGCTTTAGTTGAAAGAGAAATCATGTCGTTTCAACTAGACAACAGAAGTCAGCAGTACGATGAAGTGATTGGCAATTTCAACCAACTGAAAAAGTTTAACGCTCAAGGTCAGTGCAAGGTCAGTCCATGGATGATGAACTATGGATGTTTGGATCCAAAATGGAAAGGTACCAGTAATATAAATTATAAATCTTACGTGGCAACGCGTGTATAAAATATTTTTCACAATCAAAAAACATAATTTTATCTCAAGATGTGTGCACGTGGGCGGACCCAAAGAAAATGACCAAAGAGACAATTAACATTTACTCAGGTTTGTAAAAATGTTATCAAATAATACAAAACATTGATAATCAATGAAATCGCATGACATCATATGAAATATTTTTCGATTGTTTAGTAACCGATAGCAGAGCAACACTAGTTGACAACATCACACCAATACCAGATCGGAAAACGAAGAACACCGATTTAGAAAAGGCGGTGAATGGTAGACTAAATTATTTTATTCTCGTATATGATAGTTTGTATTATGAATGATAAATAATAACAATTATCTTTGGTGTTAAGTTATAACAGAGTTGAAGAAGAAAAATGATATCATTGCCGAAGAATTAGCAGTTATGAAAGATAGACATCGTGTAATTGAGCAGAGAATAAAAGGCAAAAAAAAATAAATATTTAATAACTGCATAGTTTAAAATAAATTAAAATTGTTGTGATAAATTGTAAAATATTTTTTGTTTCGCAAATGTTGATATTAATACAGACGCTGCACAAAATCAACACGCGAAACGCAACAGGGTGGTTGAACTAGTTTATGATACGGACAAATGTATGAAAACTTCGGAAAATAATTTTATTTGTATTTTAATCAAATTAAACTTGATTTAATGATTATAAATATTAATTAGCAATAATTTTTGGTCGATGTTTAGCTAATGAGTGGAATAAAGAAGATATGTTTTTAAAAAAAGAATTGTGGTTGCTGCGAGAAAACTTCTACATAATGCAACAGAAAATAAAATCAATAGATGGTATAAAATTATTATAATATTATAGTACTGATAAATCAATAATGTAGACACTAAACATCCAGTAATACATTGTTGAATATTTTTACCCAGAGTTGTTTTTAGAACAAAATGTCAAGTTAAAAAATATTACAGACAAATTACAAGTTGGTATAGAAGTTTCGACATCATCAGCGAACATAAATTGTAATCATATTTACATTATTCTAACTGTAAATTCCATTCCTATGAAATGCATACTTGATGTAAAATTTAACTTTTAGATGAATCAGAAGCTGTGTACAAAAAAGCAAACAGTCGGATAGACAAGCTTGAAAAGATCGTAGACGCATTAAAAACCGAAAAACAGTATTTCGTTCAAGCGAACAAAAAGATGGCTAAGGAAATCGGTAATTTTAATTTTTTATTTTTTATTGATTAATTGCAATTAAACAAAAATCACTCGTTCCTAGATAATATTCGTAAACGTTCTGTGAACAAAATGGTTTTCAAAAAATTCAGGGGTCAAACGAAGAAGAATTTGGACGACGTCAACAGATTTTTAAATTATTATAAAAGTAATATGTCGCATATATTTATAGAATTATAATCGGAAACATTAAAATTTTTAATATTTAACTCTATATTGTGCGTTTAAATACTACTATTATAGATATAAATAAAGTGGAGACTGAAATTAATGCTCGTCGTAAATACGACAAACTAAAAATGAGACTGTGTATGATTGAAAGTAAGATTAGATTATCTATAACGGTTACAGTGAACATAAGTTTACAAATGTTAATAATGTTGTACAAATTGAATTTTCAGAAGCAGACGTGACAAATCAGATCAACACACAGCAAATGATGCAGAATATTAATATGTTATCGCCAAGGGTGAGAAGAGGCGGAGTAATTGAATCAATGACAAACGTTCATTGTGATAAAAAATATCAACAAGCATACCCGTATTCACCTCCTTCAGTGAAACCAATAACACCTTTACTAGAATCAGCTTCTCCATCAATACCGCCACCACCTCCATCACCCAAAGCAGGACTTTCTTCTGAATATGCACCATATATAATTAATTCAGATCTATTGCAATCTATGGCTAAAGAATTAAGGAAACCTGATGGTAATAATATTAGGAAAATTCCAAAGCGTGTGGATATGAAAATTCCTAGTAAGAACACAAATAATGCTAAACAAGAGGTTGCTCTTACATCACCAGAATCTCTACACCAAGAGTCATATATAGTGCCTCCAGCACCACCACTACCTTCAATAACATTAGTAGCTCCAGAATCATATATTGATCCTCCAGCACCATCAGAACATCCATTAATATTAGAAGCTACAAAGTCACTTGTAGAGCCTCTAACCCTACAGCCACCTCAATTAATACCTCCAACAAATAATATAGACTAACCACAATTTACGTACTTATTTGCGGTCACTATCACTTTCAGCCCATTTTTTTAATACATACATCTCAACCCTGAACTCTCTAGGCATCAAAATCCGGTGGTCCAGTAAATAATATGAAGAAAGTATATGAAATGGCTCGTGTAAGTATTTGGTTTTAGTTATTTAAAAGTATAAAAACCATTTAATTGATTGAGTTAGTTAAACTTCAGTTTAACTACATTTAAGTATTTATAAAAATCAATTCACATAAATTTTTTGATTCTGGTAAAATCAAACGTTAAAACAACAATATTGTTATACAAATCAAAATACCAGAATCAAAAAAGTTTTGTGGATCGATTTTGACGAAAACTTAAAAAAAAAAAAAATTATAATATTTGAGGTAAAATTTAGTTAAATTGTAGTTTAATCAATCAAATAATTTGGTTTTTACACTTAAGTAATCAAAATCAAATACACGAATTTAAAATAAAATATACAGAGTGTTCAAACTAACAGGTACCACTAAATATATCAGTTGGATGACTGTATTTAAATGGGGTTTTTGGGAAATTAAAGAGAGTACCATAATACACAATTTCAGACAAATTTCAAATATTTGACCCTATCGGTACGCGCATGCGCAATACAACTTACTTTTTTTAAATGGCAACACCATATTTTTTTTGTATAATCGGGTAAAGTATATTTTTTTAATCAATTTTGATATAAAAAGTTTTTTATAAATACAAAATTGGCAAGGTTATAGTATATTGAAATTTAAATTTACAAATAATCTGTTTTTGACAAAATTTAAACAAAATTCAAATTATTGTTAATTGAAAATCTAAATAATATCTCCAATATTGTTAAAAAACCTGTCTGTACATAGATAAGATATAAATAAACACTTTTTTTATTGTAATTTACTCTTCTGAAATATGATAGCTAATTGGAGGTAATGAAAATTATAATTATAACTTATCTATGTACAGATATTTATCAATATTTGAAATATTATTTTGATTTTCAAGTAACAATCAGTTGAATTTTGTTTAAATTTCATCAAAAACAGATTATTCGTAAATTTAAACTTCAACATACTATAAATTTGTCATTTTTGTATTTATAAAAAACTTTTTACAAAAATTGTTTAAAGAAAAAAAGTCTAGAAGAATACTCTACTCAAATATGTAAAAAAAATATGGTATTGCCATTTAAAACAAAGTAAGTTGTATTGTGCATGCGCTACCGACAGGGGCAAACATTTGAAATTTATCTGAAATTATGTATTTTAGTACTCCCTTTCATTTCCCGAAAATCCCATTTAAATACAAGGTCGTCCAACTGAAATCTTTTAGCGTGAACACACTGTATTTTACAAAACTTGTTTTATGTTACATGCTCACAATAATTGCTTTTTTCCAAGCAATGAAATCGTAAAACATCTTCTCATATCATTGATTGATCACGAAATTGTCGACCAATAACACAAGCTTCGTTACATCTCCATTAACATAATGTTAATCTAACATCTAACATAAATTATAGGTATCAACAAGTGATTCCGAACAACCAAGTTTATGGAAAATGTTTGTATTACTTATATTTTATAATAAACAAACAACATTTTGAAAAATTATTTTGAGTAGAGATTACTTTTTATGAAAATATTTTAAAAGTTTTTATAAAGATCTTTAAGGCTTCAAATTTATGTGATTTTTTTTAAATTTTTCATTTAATTTTCCGAATAAAGTTTATCTTCGATTTTTAGATTTTAATAATAATTTACATCTATTTATTAGATTGGTTAATTTCAATTTCTGGTTTGTTTCGATTGTGAAGTCACTAAATGTTAATAATCTTGATGATAATTATGTTCTGTATACAAATCGAATCAACCAAGATTGCTTGGAAAATGTATAAGTTACTTATTGAAATCAACATAACATAATAATAATAATATTAATCCAACCCACATACAATTTATTTGGTCATTTAAGCAAAATTTTTGTTAAAGTTTGTCAAATTTGAATGAAATATTATCTAAAATGAATGCAGTTTCTATCTATGACGAAAATATAAAAATATTATTTCCAGGAAAAAATCCATTTAAATTAAAAAAAAGTTTTATTTCAATTGATTCGTCAGATTATAGAAATTTATTAATACCAGAAAAAAATGCATTTGCTTATGTCTGTGGATTTTTAATGAAAAAATGCATTGAAAAACATGCTTGTGATATTTGTATTAATTATGCCAAAAGTCAAAAACAATTGGATGAATCATTTTTACTTTGTTACTTTAAAGCATATGAAAATGCAGAAAAATTAACACATGGAAATTTAATGATGCCACTACACAAATGTAATGAACATATAAATGAATTAGTAAATATATTTATAAATAGATTTCCACAACTATCTGTAGTCAAAGAAGTAGATATTAAGTTAAAACTAAGTATGACTAATATTATATTTAACTACCCATGTCCACTATTTAACAAAGACTATTTGTAAAATGATTTTATAAGGTTTAGGATTCATGCAGCAATACAATTTTTAAATAGGACATTAGTATCTGAAAAAATAAGAAAAAATAGAAAATAAGCTATATTAAATAATTTGCAAATAAATTAGTATGTATTATTAATTATTGAGGAATAAATTTTAAATAAGTTCTGTACTTCATTAATTTTATAATATTTCATGTATTGTATTTACCTGTACTCGTTTATGTAAAATATTTTTTGATTATTTAAAAAAAAAAAACTGTGATTCTTTGTAAAGTATTTAATATACTTGTAATGTAACAAAAATATAACAAATTAGAATGTAGATTTATTAATTATTTTACCCAAGTCCTATTTCATAATTTCTGATGTTTGTGAACATGTTATCGAAAATTAATACAGCTCCTATAGATTATGAAAATATAAAAATATTATTTCCTGAAAAAAATGCATTTACTTTACAAACATTAGTGCATATACTTGTGCATGTTAAAGATTTTTAGCGCATATTTGATTGGTTTTTAATACATATAATTCCGCGGTATAATGATTAAAAATTAATAATAATAAAATTATTATATTTAGTCACTAATAAAACTCCACGGCAAAGTTGATAATTGATATATCATGTTTTTCCACGATAGTTAACGTGAACCATGTAAATAGTATAATATTGGTAAAATCTTCGACCATATAAACTAAGTTAGTTTATATGGTCGAAGGGTAAAATGTTGTATAACCAGGTATTCTTCAAAACGAGTTAAAAAGAAAAGGAGGTGCAGAAAATAAAAGAAATAAAAAACGTAAAGAGTCGTTAGAAGAGAGCAAAACAAGTGTAAAATTGGATAATATATTTAAGAACGTCGAAAAAAAAAGGTGGTGACCTGGTTGGTTCTCTCAAAGTTGAGATAGGTAATTGTTTAATTGGAACTTGGATATGATCATGATGTATTCCAGTGGCGCAACCAGGGGGGTGGACTCCGAGTCTGGACCCCCCCTTGGTACGTATAATTGTATATTAATATCATATTCTAGATATATATATATATTATAATTTTTTATTATTTGTATATTAGTTTATTTTGTCAGACCCCCCCCCCCCCATGAAAAATTCCTGATTGCGTTACTGATGTATTCTATTTTTCCCGGGTCGGTCAGATTATGCCTATCCGCTCCCGATGATAACGCAAAATACTATTTACCAGTGGCCTATATAGGGGGGGGAGGGTGCCTAGTGGGTTCATCTCCCCTGAAATGAAAAATCTTAAAAGTTATTTTAAACGTTTGTTATATTTTAATGGTGCTTTATGCTTATTTAGAATTTGCGTCCAACATCAAATCGTTTTGGGAAATTCTGTTAATGAATTGTAGATAAGTACCTACTGTGTCTTGTTAGTAATTCTTAGATAGTAGTGGTAATTTAATTCTGTCCATAGTAACCCCTAACGAAAATATTTTCTGTATACGCCACTGCTATATACAGCTTTCTTTAAACGTTAACAAATATTTTTTTTTATAGTATACATAAATACATAAGTACAGAGGTGGATCTATTGGTTAACAATTAACTTAATTTTATCAATAACCGTACTGCAATAGATCTACAATTTTGGATTTCAAAACAAAAGTAAATACTTTTGGGGCGGATATTGAGTTTTAAGCATTTCAAAATACTAAAATCGAAAAACTTGTATTTCAAAAAAACTGTGAGATAGGGAAATAAAGTATAAAGTAAATATATTATTTAACATGTATAATTATTGAAGGTAATTTAAGGGAAAAATATTTATGATGGATAAATAATCGCAATAATATCTATTAGTGATGAGAATAATCGAATGATTAGTAAACGAAATCAAAATAATCGAATGATTCATTTTTTAACTGCTTGAACTGGTTGTATAAATAATCAAATAATTATCGATAAGCCTGAAAGTTAAATGCATTTTTAATCCAAATATTTATACGTATTAAACCAATTAGTGTGGAGATTACCGACACCAGGAATTATACCAATGATTAAAAATAAAATAAATAATAATACAATACTGATGGACAGTCGATTTCTTAGACCAAGCTGTTTCGAGACAAAATTTGCAAAATAGTTGCACATGCAACTGTTTTGTGACCTAGGCAGCGTATAGCTGGGACGTCCGTACACGAAATGACCAAAATTACATTAGTTTGCAATCAGTTTCTAATCAATTGTACTCATTCGGTTTTCGCGGTCGCAGTTGCGTTGTAATTTTAATTTGCACCGAACTTTCGTATTTGTGCACGTGTATTGTTTTAGTATTTTCGTGAACATGAGTGACCAAGAATTAAACATTAAGTTCGTTAGGTTATAAACAGTCTAGAGTTCGCATTTTCTCTCAAGTATAGATGGACCCAATGTTTTCACTGTATTCTGCGTAGCCTGCGATATTGATGTCATCTTCATCTGATTCTGAACTTGACATAGTATAAAATAGAAAAAAAACAACTGTACTGATCGAATAGATTAACACCAACTGATCCAAAATCAGTCATGTCCGTGTGATGTGGGGACTGAAGTTTCATATTGGTTGCAAATTGATTGTTAAGCACAACTGATTTGCAAATTTTGTCCCAAAACAGTGTGTGCGCTTGGCCTTAATCAAACAGACATGTGCAATTGTTTTTGTTCGATACATTATTTACAAATGTGGCAAGAGGAACTTGCAGCTGCGGAAACCTATAATAGTTAGTACCATAGGCATATAAACTAAGTTAGTTTACATGTCTATAATTAGTACCTACCTACCTACTTGAAATTACGCAAATGGCGGGCAAATAACGAACATTAACGGTCGTCGATCACATAAATAACGGATAATAATTGTTTGTATTCAGTACAGGGCGATTAATGCATAAACAAAAAATTCGTAAAGAAACTTTTTTGTGTTGTTAGTAGTTGGTACTTTTTTTTCTTCTTTTTTTTTTTTTATCATGTTTATTATCACACTCCAGGAAAACTAGTAGATACCAGCTGTCGTACAACCATAGTATCTATAACCATGGACAAAATTGAGTGTCCGTTCTCAATTCTAGCCATTAACATATAATATATAGATAACAGATAGAGTTATCATAAAGAGTTCAATGGCAAAAACTTGATTCTACTCACAGTCTAAAAAGATATCTTCTAAGACCGTGGTGTGAAGACGAGCGCTTCCCCGCAGTAAGGCATTTGGCTGGCTTATCATAAAAGAACGTTATCATAACTTCAAATTGTAAAATGTAAATGTAAATGTAAAATGTTAAATGTAGGAGCTAGAAGATCTCTTTTGATTTAAAAGGTTTATATTAATATACTATTAGGTATATTATAATGTATAGTTTTATAATTTTTTTACATTTGATGAATTTAAACTATATTATGTCCTAATGTATATGATAGGTAGACAGGCACGTAGCTAAATGAGGGCCAGTGTGTGCCCAGCCCACCCTAATATGTGTCCGGCCTTAGGCCGGCCCACCTAAAGTATTGAGAGGGGCTCATTATTATATGATTGCTTTTAATTTTAACCAAATTTTTAATATTGCCTAAATATGACGCAAATAAAATCAAATACATCGGGTTTTAATTATAATCTAAGTAATGTAACTTGTAACTAAATTAAAACGATCGATTAGGAAATAATTGCTATTTATAGCTAAATACCGGTACTATACTACGTCAAGTTGTTCTTATCATATCTAGACTGTGACTACTGTATACTTGTATGTCTATTTTTAAAATACTTTGAGCGAAGGTATTGTCATTATATTGATTTATATAGAAATATAGAATTATATTATGGTCTCCGATTGGGCACTTACATTCACATTCAACGCACGTCGCACTTATGCTAACGTCACCTGCGTTAATATTTGTACAATTTATAGTATTTATACATTTTATCTTATATATTTAATATTTAAATTAATTTTAAAATGGCACCTCTCAGTGGATTTGCCAAAAGAAAACTAAAATTACAAAGAGAAGAGCGAAACGATAAAATATGGTATTATTAGGTTATATACTATATTAAGAGTTAAGACCTTTAATTCCATTCTTGTAAAAAAATAACTACATTTTTCTAGTAATTAATATGTAATAAAGTAATTTTATTAAATAACTCCAGTCTCCATTACAACTATTCGTTTGCTCTACTACCTACCTATCATATACATAAGGACATAATATAATTTATATTCATAAAAAGTAAAGAATTTATAAAACTATGATAACGTTCTTTTATGATAAGCCAGCTATATGCCTTACTGCGGGTAAGCGCTCGTGTGTGAAGTGTTCGTTTTCATTATCACTTTCTGTTATCTTGAAAAATAAATATCATGAATTTTTAATCATTTTGTTATCAATTTCTAACTAGTTGAGTGCACCTTTTGCACGTGTGAAGTGTGAAAAGGAATGTTTTTTCAAAACATTTTCAAATACATAATACAGTAAATTTAATTAAAATTTTATATTTCATATTAGTGTAAATTTTTTTTCAATTATGGATTCGCAATCGTCCGGAGTAGGTTTTAAACGCAAGAAAAAGCATATTTCAAATTATCAACGAGCAATGAAGTACTCTAAACGAGGAAAGTTTGGTCATGGTTTTCAAATTCAAGAAGATGATTTTCAGTACTTTTTGAATATTCTTAAAGTGTCGAAAGAAGCATTTGAAAGTGATGAGGATAAATGTAATTATATATTTTACATTTCCATTTGTGTTTTATATAATTTATACAAATTGTTTTCAGGTAATTTTGTGGATAATGTTTTCAAGCAGTTAAAGGGAAATGAAGTGAACTATTGCAGTAACCAAGTAGTGTCTCGTGTAATTGATGATTTATTACCAGCTGCTAGTGATGAGACTGTATTTAATTTAATTGAACAATTTGAAAAAGATTTAAGACCAATTTGCTGTGATCAGTTTGCCAGTCACGTACTTCAACAGTTATTACACAATGCTACATATAGAGCATTTAAAAATGTATTTCATATTTTATAAATATTATTTAAAATTAAAAAAATTAATTAATATTCACCATTTCAAATATTAAACAATTTTTAACAAAAGGTAACTAAAGAAGTATCAGAATCCACAAAAGAAAATTATCTTCATTTTATAAATAAGTTATGCAAATTTATATTAAATAACTTGGAAGAATTTGTATGGGACACGTATGCTAATCATATTGTACGCAGTTGTATGGCATGTTTATGTGGTGAACCATATTTATCTTCTAAAAACTCTCATCAAAAAGGTGAAAAAGTTGATACAAACAAAGAACTTAAAAATTTATTGAAGAAATATGCTGACAATTTAATTAGTGTTCAACAGTTTTCAGGTAGAATGTGAAATGTTATAAATTCAATAAATTATTAAATTAAATTATTATTTATAGAAATGCCTAAAACTGATATTACATCTGGACTTTTACAAGTATTATTGAAATGTATTGCACCTGTATCTAAAAAAAGATATAAAGCACTAGTTGATAAATTAATGAGCGTTACATTTTCGAAAAATGAAAGTTCTTCTGAAAATATTTTAAATGTTCTCGAAAACAGTTCATTTGCCAGGTATCGCTTAATTTATTTTATAACTTGTAAAATTTATTAATTTATGTTTATTAGCAATAAAATGTTTATATTTCAGACTGCTTGATGTTATTATTTCTGAATCATCAGAAAAATTTAATAAATCATTATATTCTACATATTTCATGAATAAACTTGGAGATTTAGCTGTTCATCGCAATGGAAATTTTACCATTCAAAAATTATTATTGAAAACCACAGATACCATACAAGTAATATTATAGTTGGATATTTAATAACGCAGTATACAAGTTGTTCTCAATATGTGAGCCATGGTATCTATACAGGGATACTACACTTTTGTAGAATTGTATTGGGTGTAAAAATAATATTTATGATTCTTTGTGCTATATGGGGAAGGGTGTCCAGAGAAAACCTTATTCAGAAAAATAGTTGCAAGTCTAAAAAGTTGGGGAACTGCATCTATATACATTATACAAAGACAGTTTTTTAATCTGAATATAAAACTTTAATTCCAATAATAATCTAAAGTGACATTATTATTGTGTTCAATTTTATTTTGTTTCATTTTTCAAAAATAATAATATAGTATAGCATCTAAAATATATTTATAATTATGAATATTTATTTTTATTTTAAAATTTAGTTTGAATCAATGTTTGATCAACTAAAGGAAAAAATACCACAGTTGATTAATCTTGGATATACTGGAGTTTTATTAGAATTGTCTAATGTTTGTTTAAGACTGAAGAGTAAACAAGCTTTATTTTTTAAAGTAATACATTAATAAACTAATTCAAATTTTATTGTTTTATACTAAATTTATTTTTAACAGACATTATGTGAATCACTTAAATGCAAAGAAGAAACCGAAGATGGTATTACAGTTTTATTAATTCTTAGTTTAAAAGTTAATGAAAATTATGATAATTCTTGTAATGAACCACCAATTAATATTCATGGGTCAATGATAGTTCAAAATTTATTGAAGTTCAATAAACCAATTAAAGTAATATATTCTTTGATATGTATTTTCAAAGCTAGTTTCAATAAATTTTTTTTTGTAGATTATAAATAATTTAATCAATTTAAACTCTGAACGTCTTGTATACATACTATGTGATGTAAAAGGTAGTTATATTGCAAATGCATATTTTGAAAGTGAATTTATTGGAGAAAGAAGTCGTGAAAAAATGATCTGGAAATTAAAAGTAATATGATGATTTATTGAATATGTTATATTATTTTTTTTAAACACATTATTTTATTAAAGGATTATTATACAACTTTGGCAAAATCTAAAAGTGGTTCTCGTGCTTTTGACTGTATATGGAAAGTAGCAGATTCAAAGCAGCATTTGATGATCATGACTGAATTTTTACGACATGAATCTGATCTTACTAGTACACAATTCGGTTCTATAATTTCAAATAAATTAAATTTGGGTTTATTCAGGCATCAGAAAGATGAGTGGCTAAAAGCAGATCAAAATAAACTCAAAACACTTAAAGTGTTTGAAATTAATAAATACTGTTAAATTGATTTTAATATTAATATATATATACATATTAAGGTAACAAAAATATAATGATAATTTTAAACATAATTATTCCAATTACTGCCATCTTCAGGTAAAAGTTGATTAGTTACTAATAGTATAACGTCTACTATCCACCAAATTCCACCACCTCCAAGTGTCAATAATTTTCCTACGGCTGTTCCAGTTTGTCCTAAGCAAAATCTGTCCATACCAAGGAAACCAAGTAAAATTGAGTACAGAAGAGTTGTTAGAAAATAATAGCCACCATATCTGTAATGATAAAATATATATGTATGATTATTTAATATTTTCAAAAATAAATGGAAAATGTATATATTTTATAAAATTGTTCTTACTTAACACATGGAAATTTTTTAGTGAATGTTCGAGAACCATGACATTCTATTCCTTCTAAAACAGTGCATTGGACATCTACTTGTTGTACGTCTTCATATCTATAGCTACCACCATACTAAAACATTCAATTATAATAATTAACTAAAAGAAATTTATAATCAAAAATATATAATATTATTATACCTTATAACAACCTCCTGAACCAGAATCATCTCTTGATTTATTGCCTTTTAAATCTACTGATTCACAATCAATAAATTCCATAGGTCTAAAAATTAATGAAAAAATATTTCAATAACTAATTTTATTATTAATTTAATATTTTAAAAATATCCATGTATATTATGTGTACATGATTAGGAAAATTAAAGCGCTTTGTACTACAGATTAAAAACCATTGCTGTAATACATTAAATTAGTAGTTAATGGTTGATTATTTTTAGACTATTAATGGAATAGAAATGATTGATTACTGGCTTATCACTTGGTCATCTATAAATGGATATATAATTAAAAATGTATTATTTTTTTGATGTTCAAATATAAAAATATAATATATATATAAAAATAAAAAAATATTTCATTGATGTTCAAAAAATTGCCAACAATAATATTTTAGAATTAATTGAACTATATGAAAATAACTACATTTCTTAAAACAATATCAAGCAGATTTATTATTTTTACTTTGATCATTTAAATTCTACCAAAGATATTAAATGTTAAATTTTGTTGTCTTATATAAACTTTTAGCCCTAACACACTATAATCTTCTGAGACTTGCTTGCAGTACAAAAATATTATGAATGTTGTTAACTTTGATCAAATTTACATGTAAATTAATTCAATTGCAATATTTAATATTGCAAAATTATTTTTCAATAGTTTTTCTCGCTTTTTTATCACCAAGAAAATAAAATAGTAAACATGGGTAGAAGGTGATACATTTTTCAGATGCAGAGCAACAAAGAATCAGTACCATAATTTGTGAAGGCACGAAAAGATAATGTTAACACGAGTTTATAATGAAAAAATTTACAGAAATGAGCATTTGACAAGCGGTCCAAGTGGAAAATACGGTTCTTGATTGTTTTCAATCATCGAATCATTTTTGAAAACTCCATCACTTTTCGACAAATCCTCATTTAACGTCGTGTGACAGTAACAACAACAGAGACTTGCCACTAGGTATAATACGGTCCAGTTAAACTTGTTGGCCATTTCTTGTGATCATGACGAATTGAAAACGGATTTAAAATAGTTTTTTGTTAAAACTTAAGCTGATAATACAATCAATTCAAATATTGTTATCATAAAAGTTATCTTTTTATAGAATACCATGAATAGAGATAATACGATACATAATATTATTCTGTGACGATATTTAAGGTGATAGTGATGATGAACGAATGGACAACCTGATGAGCTTTATCAAATATTCATTACGATGAAGTTGTCAACTGTCCAGATACGACGTGCCTGTTTCGCTTGGTTCAGTTGCCTAACGTATAAAAAATTTACTACACTTATTTGGCCCACTAAAGCTATAAAAAGGCGTTATCGGTGACTCATATGTTATAATATTTTCGGCTAAACCCAGTCAATATTTCTATTGCAAATTATTTCCGACATAAATATGGCAAATTTTATGTCTCCAATGCCGTCCAGAGAATTCTTGTGGGATGTGTTTCAAAGGTATGTGAATGTAACCGACAGAATTTGTCATAATGTGTACAGTAAATAATATAATGTCGGATAACTTTATGCAGGGTTGACAAAGACAGAAGTGGATTTATCTCGTCCGATGAACTTCAAATGGCGCTTTCCAACGGCACATGGACTCCTTTTAATCCAGAAACAGTGCGATTAATGATAGGCATGTTTGATAAGCAAAATAGAGGTACTGTATCTTTTGAAGATTTTGGGGCCCTGTGGAAGTATGTGACCGATTGGCAAGCATGTTTTCGGTCATTTGATCGTGATGGATCAGGCAACATAAATGTAACCGAACTCAAAAATGCACTTACATCGTTCGGTTATAGTCTCAGTGAACAAGTTGTCTCAGTTATGCTCAAGAGGTTTGACCGTTTTGGTCGTGGAACTATATTATTTGACGATTTTATTCAATGTTGTGTTGTATTACATGTATGTGTTAATAACATTTTACTAAATATAGTCATACTTGAAATTCTATTATTCCATTTTTAATTGAAACACAATTATTTTTCAGACACTTACAGCTGCATTCCGTCAATTTGACACTGATCAAGATGGATATATTACAATTCACTACGAGCAATTTTTAAACATGGTGTTTGGTTTGAAAATATAAATTTATGTTGTATATTGTTTAATAAGTATATTTTATACATAACTGTCCAGCATTTAGGACTATTTACAATATATAAAATGAAATATTGTTAGATAACAATTATATATATATATATTTTTCTTTCGTGTATTCAGGGTAGTACTTTAATGCTACATTAATTATGTGATATTTTTGAGCAATTAATTAATTAAATTTATATATTACTATTATTACTGTTATAACCAAGTTGTTTTAATTTATTTAAAATACACATTATTCAATTTTACCAATTTAAATGATTTTACTATGAAAATAGAAATATAGAAAATGATGGCACTTATATAAAAACAAGTAAATGTCAACTATTTTATACACAGATTTTAATTGATTTTTTCTGAAAAAGGTTTAATAAAATATTGTTATCATAAAGTAGACCATTTATATTATGGTAATTTTGTTAACTTGGCAACTGTATCTAATAGAGGATTGGTTGATTCATGAGCAAAAAGTGCTATCAAAAGTGCAACTCCATAACCAGTTGCTCTTTCACCCTAAAAAATGCATTAAATTAGTAAAAATGTATGAACTACAATATGTCATGTCTAACAATATGTACTAAGTATAAAATATCCATTCTTATTATTAGAGGTACCTATCTAAATGATATCTACTCAGTACTAATAAGCAGTTTGATTAACTAGACATCCATTTTAGTAGATACTAGTACCTCTGATAATAATGACCTCTAATACTTTTTTCTTCAATTATAAGAAAAATTGTAATTACATAGTGTGATGGCCCAGCAATATCCACATGCATCCATTTATGAGGAGAATCAAAGCCTAGATGAGCTGCTATAAAAAGTCCGGCACATGATGAAGTGGCGTTTGAACGGTCCTTAAAATTACATTAATTTTAGAAGATAAAGTATACGAATTGAAAGTTATCATATTACAGCTACAGAATTTTTCATATCAGCTACAGATGATGAAAATTCACAGAAATGTAGTTCTGGACAGTAAACAATTGGAAATGTTAAATCTCCAGACACAAGGCCAGCAGAAACGACTTTTTTTTCCCATTGTGCCGAGTTAGACATCACTGCTGCATGATATTTCCCAGTGCTAATTGACTAAAATAATAACATTTTTACAATAAATTAACTGTAATAAAGCCTAAATTTATATAAATTTACATATTTATTCTAATCTTTAGAATTAAATGTAAAGTAAACATATCAATGGTAAAGGTCAGTGGTCAAGGGCCAAGGCAGAATTCAAGAATAATCAACTTTTTCACACTTTGTTGTAAACATTATAATAATTTAACATTACTTTCAACCAATTATAATTTATGTTTTATTTTACACTATAAGATCTAAGTGATAATGAACAGGTGGAATTGAAAAATATTGGGTGTGAATTTTAATAGAAAAATGTGATGTAAGGGGTAATATTATTGGCATGTTTCATTTTATTTTGTTCTTGCAATAATACTTAAAATAATAAGTTGCAAATTTTTTTTTTTTAAATAATATTGTTACATGACACGATTCAAAATACAAACTTTGTTAGATCATAATATTTCATAATTTGTTGTTAATAGTGTATTGATTATAAATACTTTAACATTCAAAAATGTAAATAAAACTTATTCTTGATATTATATACTTTTAGACTAAAAGTTTTAGTTATAAAATTTGTAAATGAATATTATATAAAACGCAATCATTTTAAGTATCAATTTTTTATATAGGGGCTTTTAAAATGCTTATGTGTTATATCAATGTTTTTTGGTACATAAATATATTTAAACTATTTATATTAATGTTTAATGTACCTGTGCTCCAGTAAGTGTAGCCATGTCTAATATTATTTTAGCATTAAGATCCCTAGATGCATACACTACACCATCTGATAGAACTAGACGTCCTTCAGCATCTGTATTGTTGATTTCGACAGTTCTAAAATGAAACATTTATTTATAATATTTGTTATATTAAATGTTTAATTATAAAGTTAAGACTCACTTTCCTGAATAAAGTGTATGTATATCATCTGGACGTGTTGAATCTGGCCCAACAGAATTTTCAGCTAGACAAAAAATGGCATGAAGATTCTGTTTGAAGCCAGTTTTTACTATGGCATGAAATGCCCCTAATATAGCAGCTGCTCCACCACAATCACGTTTCATGCCTGGCATAGAGGTCTGTAATTATTTTTCATATATATAATTAAGAAAAATAAAAATTAATTAACTATATATTTACTTTTCCTTTTATACTTAGGCCACCAGTATCATAAACAATACCTTTGCCAACCCAAGCAATTGTTTCTGTAGCTCCACTTGGGGTAAAAGATAATACAGCTAATGCTGGCTCTACAGTAGACGCTTTACCTACACCATATATTCCTCCTAGTCCTTTTTTCTTCAATTCTTCACCCCTGATTATAACTGGGATAATATTCAAATCTGCTCCTACTTGCTTTATTTCCTGAAAGTTGTATTCAAAATTAAAATTGTTCAATGTATTAAATTTCAGCCAATTTATGTTCAACTTGCATCCAAGAAATGATCAACATTCATGTAATTACATGGAGTATCTACAATACGTGCTGCCATCCTAACGGAGTTAGCTATTCTTTCCATAGTTTCTATTTCTTCTTTCGATACTTTATAATCTGGATCATTAGCATTGGGAATAATTAGAAACTCTATTGTAACAGTTACAATAGATTTTTTTTGAGCCTTTAATTTGCCAACATATACTTTAGTTTTACAGCAAAAATCATAGAATGCTCGAGCTGCAGCACAACCAGAAGCAAACATATCTTCTCGTGTACAAACAATCTAACGAGGTTATTTAAAATATTATTTCAAAATAATAAATTAAAATTAAAAATAAATAGTTCATTAACAAACCACAATGCATTCATCATAACCAGCTGAATTTGAGTTGATCAATTTGGTGAGCATATGGGGTTGTGCCGAAGAATTATGACGACTACGATTATTGGAAAAGCATGCTACAGTGGCAGTGTTAAGAAAAAGTGGACAAGTATCAGTTGGACACGGATTCAATAACGATATAGCAGATCTATAAGTCTGAAACATGTTAATATTTGCATTAACTATTTAGCAGAAAATATATAGTAATTTACAGACAATTCTCACCTGTTCATTAACCCGTGGCTCTAACTTGCATTTTATTTCAGAATAGGACAAATTAGTTACATGATTTTCTTGACCCACTATAAAAACTGGTACACTGATAGGATCAGTTTTACTCAGAGTACCGGAAAACTTTAAAATTGTGGAAGGCATTCTAAAAAACAATGCCACTCACAAAAGTAATATGACTTCGCAAACCGTATGACAAAGAACAATCAATGCCACAGTAAGAAATTATTTTTGAAACAAGATTGAAAAAAGAGTTAATTGATGATAAAGGTTTATGAAAATTTTACCAATAAATAATAACCACGAATTAAGATACACCAATTAGACGATAGAAACGGAAAATGTAAAATCATTTATCAGTTTTATGCCAAGCACTCCACTAGCGCCACAAGCGTCTAGCGACAAGGAATCCAGATATCTACAAGATGACGGACTTCGTTATCACTATCACCGATTTTATTATCAGTTTATAAATTAAAATTAAAACATTGATATGAGCTTAAAACATATTCCACAAAAAACTACAAGTAATTATCTAAAATACTCATATTAGGCAGATATCAATATTAAAATCCTACGCTAAGTATTGGATATTGATATTGAAACAAAACAGGTACGAAGATAATATTTATAAATTAGGAGAATATAGAAAAGCTTAGGGACATTGTTGAATTCCTTATAAATTAAAAGCTTGGAAAATATTGATATCTGTGCATTTTTTGGACAAGTTTTTTTTCGTTGCAGAAAATTATTAGTTATAGTGTTTTTTACTTTGTGAAAGTTTTTGTGGAATATCAGTATTTTTTTTTACACCAAGAACTATAATGTTAATATTTTATAAGTACCTATTTATTAATAATTGTTATACAGGTACTATAATATAATCATAATTACTGTAAACATTATCATTATGCTTTTTTTCGTGGTTTGTTGTTATTCACATCTATAAATAGTAAAATTCCGATTGTCGATATTATGGGCATTTGATAAAATCCATACTAAATCACAGATATCTATATTATACTAGATAACGAACTACCGATGTTTTTCATTGAGAGAAGTGAAGCCCGGAGACGCAAGATTATCATACGTTCGCCATATTTTCGGTTGGCAAAACAATATTACTTTACACTATATAAAATAGTTGAACACACTAAATTATTAAATTAAACATTTTTCATTACGTTTAATCAAAATTTAATTTCATTATAGAATTGAGAATATTAATTTAAAATTGCACTATTCATTATTTACATAATGTATATAATATATATTGATTATATTATACTCGTAATCAATGAGTATACAATAAATAAAATGACTTATTTAAATACACAAAACCATATCACTATACTTACTATATTTAGTTTTAACTATTATATATATATATATAAATTAAAATATATAAAATAAATGTTTATGTTTTGATATACTGTAGTAGGGTTTGTTTTCCAAGTTTGGTTACTAACCTTAGCGCAATTGATTGAAAAGCCTGAATTGGCCTGATGTTCGAGGGATTTGCTGGACCCCAGATTGCTATTCCATAAGACCAGATTGGTCTTATGATTGACTTATATGTAATTAGTTTGTTTTGGAGTGTTATTTTGGAGTTTAGGAGTGGTCGGAGGAGGTGAAGTCTGTTGTTCGATGATTTTCTTTTTAGTGGGGGCTCCAAGTTAGTCTTTTATCAAGCGTTATGCCTAAGTACTTAATTTTGGTTTGGACAGGGATGGGGGGCGTTGTTCATAATTAATTGAGGGCACTCACAGGGAAAATGTTTTAACGTAAAAGTAATTTGTACAGACTTTTCCGTATTAATTTTTATTTTCCATTTTTTGGCCCATTCTTCAATTTTATTAGCATGATTCTGGAGTTCAGCTGAAGCTAAAATAGGATTTGGACTGGAGGAACGAATAGCTATGTCATCAGCGTATGTTGCTAGAAGGGTGTTACTAGATTGAGGGATGTCTGCTGTGAATATATTATATAGATCAGGGGATAGATCACTACCCTGTGGAACTCTAGCATATATTGAGTGGGTAGATGAAATATCGTTCCCCTGTCGTACGACAAACGAACGATTTTGTAGATAAGATTTGATAATAAGATAGTAGGGAGCTGGAATGAAAAGTTTTAATTTGTATAGTAAGCCATCGTGCCAGACTTTATCGAATGCTTGAGCAATATCTAAAAAAAGTCCAGAATAGTATTCTTTATTTTCGAGAGCAGTTGAGATTTCATCAGTAAGACGATGAACTTGATGGATTGTTGAGTGCCTGTTTCAAAAACCAAACTAATTATTTGGTATGATATGGTTGTTTTGAAGGATGGGACGTAATCTTTTCAGGAGGGCCTTTTCGAAAAGTTTACCAAGGACTGGAAGTAAACTTATGGGACGGTATGACGAAGATAAGTGTTAGGTTTATTTGGTTTGTGTACAAGTATAATGATTGCAAATTTCCAGATTTTAGAGAAGTGGGAAAATCTTAGCATAGAATTATATATGTGGGTGAGCAATGATATAGTTTTGAGAGACAGATTTTTCAGAATTTTGTTTGTAATGAGGTCATTTCCAGGCGCCTTGCCGGGAGGTAATTTTTTAATTATATACTGCATTTCACCAGGAAAGATGGGTTTTGCAGGTAGCGACATAGGTAGCGAAGCTGATAGAAATTGTTGAATTTCAATCATTGTATCGTTTTCGGGATCGGTGCACGAATGAGGCTGGAATGTTTCAGCTAATTGAGAATATACAGATACAGAGAATGTACAGAATATACGTTGCAATTAAAAA